TCTCTACTATGGTGGCAGGCAATGAGATTCTCCTCCTCCCTGACTTACGTCTTTAGCTTCCCTATTCACCTGCCTGGGGAGCTGCAGGTGACTAGACCTTAATTATTCCCAAATCGAAACCCAAGGGGCTGAGCTGGCCAGGGTGGAGCACAGCGCTCACGGTCAGGGTCAGCAATGCTCCCTGTGCCTCTGAGTCAGAACTGTGACACTTGTGATTGCTGGTGGCATTTCAAGGCAATGCACTTATTCAGTGCCACCACTCCAGTGGTGCTGAAGTGTACATGCTCTAGATTTTCACACAATACCTGGCACTGTGAGTAAGTGAGCAAACCAAAAACAGCTGTGCTTACTACTCAGAGGCAAACTATAAAGTGTTCGGTAATAAATATTACATATAGCAAATGCCAGTTTGCTGTTACTTTATCTATATTGTGCATGACTGCAGACCTGTTTCTAACACTATTTATGTTGTCTGTCATGGACTGCCAAAGGCATTAGCAATTTTGCACTATAAAATCTACAGAACAAGCTAAATAGCCAATGTTTTTAAGCTGAGCACTTAGGGTTTTGGGCACTTCAGCATCAACTTATTTGAAGTTTTCTGGAAAGAAAACTCTTCAATGTCAAAGAAATGCAGACCTGAGCCTAAGGTTTTTTGGTGTATATAGCTCCACTTCGAATTTTTCCTGATTAAACTAGAATTATACTAGGTCATTTCCACTTAATTCAAGGAATAGTGCAGAGGGATTGTCCTTACAAAGTTTCTAAACTTTCTAGTTTAGCAAATGCTTTCCATAGCAAGTATAACCCACTTTCAATTGTCACTGATCAGGAGCCTCTTATAATCTGCATCTTAACAAATCAGGTTATGAATTACAAGGTCATCTTCTCAGGTTCAGTCCCTAGACAGAACCAAAGTTACTGGGTCTTTTTAAACAATTCAGATGGAATAACTGAAGTCTAATTTAGTTCAATACAAACCTAATTTGATGTGAGAAAAAAATGGTGAAAATTAGTCTAAATTTTCTAAACCATCAGAGGAGAAGAGAATCTATAATTTTCATCTTACTAAATCATTCAGAGATGACAGCATTTATCCAGGTTGTAGAAGACCTGTTTCACACACACCTATTTTCTGTATTAATCAGAAGAATAGATCTATACCACAGTCCCTCACTTCACAGTTGAACAAATTAATCAGTACACTGTAAGATATTCTGAGAAGTGTTTCCCTCATCCCTGCTGGTTGGAACCACTGTACCAACGTAGACAATTACATATTATCTCATAATATGTAACTCATCATAACCGAGAACAAGAATGGAAGAACAAGGATGCGTGGTGGCAAAGAATCCTGGAGCAGTGGGTGATGTGAATACAGTCTTCTTGGAGAAAAGGTTTGCACTTGAGCATCCTGACATTCTGGATTATTCTAATAGACAATATAGATCTAGCAGTGACATGTTTTACTTTCATACCTGACCTGACTTGACCGACTCCGCACAGATTCACAGGTAGTCATTTGAGGAAAAGCAAAACCACAGTTTGTTATTTGATATCTTGCTCTGTGAAAAAAGAATTGTCCTCTTCTACTGAAGAAGTACTAACGCTTAACATTTAGAAATCCTCATTCCTATTTCTAGCTTGCAGCTGGTTTATTTGGTCTGCCGTGTATCTCTAGCATCCTGCTATTCTGATGCTTCTGCCCTGAGATTAGCACGATAAAAATCGGGCACGCCTGCAGGGCATAATGCTCCACCGTTTGTGCACAGAACTGCTGGGTTATCAGTAATTCTGCTCTGAGAGGGATTATCGCAGAGTCATCTTCGTGCCTCCCAGTCTGTCTTCAGTTTTTCCCTTTCTGTACTGTATTCTCCTCACATCTGTCTGCAGCTTGCCATTTCTCTCCTTATAGCCACCCATTTACATACTCTTTACCATAGCCAAATCCTGATCTCTGGCCTGTTTAAACTGCCATGAATAAACATAGTCATTGCAGCTTGCCAGGCACTGTGACTGGGAAAAAGCCTGGCTCTCAGAGGTCTCAGATGCACTACCTACCCTCTACACTCTCTTTTATCAACATAGGCTTTTTAATGAATATGGAACTTCCTATGCAATTATCATGTAAATATCATGTACAATGTTATCATGTACAATGTTGTTTTATAGATCAACCTGCTTAGACAACACACAAATCACACTGCAACATGCTATGGCAACACCACCATGCAAAATATAGGGGTTTTTGTTTCAAACATTAGGATAGTTTCCTTTGTGGCTGTTTATTTACTTTTTAGTGTCCTTTACTGACTTTGTCCCATTGAATCCAAATTTCTTCCTGATTACAGTGTATTCAAAGCATATTACAGGAAGCCTTTACCTATAAGAAAGTAGTTAAAGAATTACAGGTTTTTTAATATGTGAGTTATTCCCACAGCCTTACAAAACTTTGTTCTTTCACTGCATTTGTTTCTTTTTTAGATTGCTAGAAACTATATGTTATAATATATATATATATACAGATATATATATATATAAAAAAAATACTTGAGGAAATATTCTTGAGCCTCATTATATGGGAGGCAGTTTCTGAAAACTGCTTCTCCTTCCCTAGGAACTACAAAAACAAAAACCATGATCTTTGCTGAAAGCTCTCGTGTTTTCCATTTCAACACACACAGCTCCACTAACCAGGTCACAGAAAAAGCCACGGA